AAGCGGGGCCCCGTCTGGAACAGATGGATCCAGAACTCTTCCCTGAACCCCCTGGACCCCTCACGCCCTGCTCTCCTCATCAGAGGACACCGGTGTGGTTTCTGCAGACCCCATCGCTGCGAGGGGACACCCTGACGTTTGAAGTGACAGCCGGGTGCTGTGCTGGTAAACGGCTAAGGAATACAACATTTCATAAGGAGCCCAGGTGTGTGAACTGTGTGTCTGCTTTGCTGCAAACGCTCTCCGCGGCCAACCTCAAGGAGCCGGGGTGGCTACGCTGAAGGCCGGGTGGGAAGGAAGGAGCAGGCTGACTTTCCCACAGGAGGGAGTCTGGTCCCCCCAGCCCCTACCGACAGCCCCACACCCACAGATGTGTCCTTTGCATTACACGTCACGGTTAGATCATTCCCATCTCAGTTTCAAGCCCCACTTTCCACGAAATCAGATGCCAAAACCTTAGTCCATTCAGACGAGAAAGAGAAAACATTGCAAGTACCAACTGTGGGAGAAAACACGGAGCACTTTGACTCCAATACCTCACAGCTTGGAGTGCAAATCGCCTCAGTCATTTGGGCAGGAAGTAACGACCATCAGGTAAAAGGGAGAAACACACAGCCCCACCCAGAGTTATGTAACCGAGGGGAGAACTGTGTGTAACCAGCAGCACACAAGCAGGAGAGTAGGCAGAGGGTCGCTCCGATCAGACCACAGAAGACCTCACACACACGAACGCTTTGGTGCATACTTGCAACGGGCTTTAAAATTTCATTTTAAAAAATATTTTACTGATCTATGTGGCTGTGTCAGGTCCCAGCTTGAGCAGGTGAGATCTCGTGGCCTCATGTGGGATCTTTCATTGCAGACCCTGGTTGTGGTGGGCAGGCTCCAGGGAGTACGCGCTTCAGTAGTCACCGCACATGGCTTGAAATTGCCCCTCTGCATGTGGGATCTTAGTTCCCTGACCAGGGAGGGAATCCACGTTGCCTGCATTGGAAGGTGGATTCTTAACCACTGGAGTGCCAGGGAAGCCCTGCAACGGACTTCTATATGAGAGAAAAGTTGAACTACCACAGTAAAACAGACCAACCTTCAGGCATGTTAGTTAATGAGTGAAGAAAAGCTCTAAGTGTGTGCATGAGGATCTCCATCGCATAAAATTCAAAAGGAGATGGATGAGGGCGTGGCAACCACTCCAGTACTCTTGTCTGGGAAGTCCCATGGACAGCGGGGTCTGGCAGTTTATGGTCCATAGGGTCGCAAAGAGCCAGACACGACTGAAGCAACTTCATGCGGGCAAAAGGAGATAAAACGCATTACCTGGGGAGGCAGAACTTTTCCGAATCTTAGGACAAGAGGAAGGAAAGCCCCCACGTGATTCCCTGGTCCTCACACACCGGGAAGGGGGCAGGTCGCTCTCAGAGGGAAGGTCAGGCTGCTGGAACGTGGGCCTGTCCCTCCTGACCCTCGGGTACTGACTCCTGTCTGCGGCTCCTGACTGGTGAGCCGTCCCGTTGCTCCATCACCCTCCCTAGCTTCTCACCCGAGTGAGGAGGGGCTGAAGCAGGCTGGGGAAGCCAACCCCTGCGTAGGGGCCAATTCACAGCAAAGTGGCCGTCCATCAGTGACAGCAAACCCTCCACACACTCTCAGTGTGTTTTGCACACACCATGACCTCAGCTGCGCGATCGGCATCCCTGAGTTCAGCCGGACGATGAGACGCTGCCCAGGGGGAAATGGGGCCTCAGACGACACGCAGTGCATCAGAACAGGTGACGACTCAGGCCTGGGAAGGAGGGGCCTTCTGAGCTCCAGCAGCCCAGGCACCCCGTGCCTCCCAGACAGGACAGCTGCCCCGGTCCCTGCAGCACGGGCACTGCCAGCGCCCCAACAGAAAGTGTCGCCGGAGGTGGCGTGGACAGGGCAGGGCCCCTGAGCCCACTCCCCCGCTCTCTGCTTCTGTCCTCGGGCTGGACGGGGGCCCGTGTCCCCCCCTACACACACAGATCCCATCAAACTGTGTCCCCTAGAAGTAATGCAGGGACCAGGACCGGGTCATGTTGCTGAGTCTCCCAGGATCCCCGGGGAAATATCCCACAGCAATGTGTGATCTCCTGCAAAGGGAGCCTGCAGGGACCTGCAGTTGTGTGGGGTGCTCAAGGTGGGGGACAATCTGCTCCCGCTCGTAAGCTTCAGGAAGACATGACTACTGTCATCCACGTGTTCACTTGAGGCAGCTGAGGTTCGGAGAACAGGCCGCGGGCTCAGAGCTGCAGAGCGGGGCGGGTCCCGGAACGAGCCCAGTGTGCAGACCCCAGAGCCCCGTCTGGCCAGAACAATGCTCGTCCACCTTGCGCTAGAGCCCGAAGGCCGGGGGGACATTTCCACAATCAGGGAGGATTAGGACAACAGGTGTTGACTATTCGATCACAATTCTGGAGAAGCCCACCATGAGGGTGTCCCTTGGGCAGTTCTAGGGGCCAATCCTGACTGCCTCTTTCCAGGGTCTGTTGGCCAAGGTGCCCCCTGGTTTGGGGCGGACCCTCTCCTCGTTCTCTGCCATTCCACACAGCTGCAGCCCCTCGTGCCTCTCTGTTGTCTCCGGCATGCCTCTCCACGCGCCTCTTCAATTCATCCGACTGGAGCACCTAAAATATCACATGAGGACCCACGCGCTGCAGTACGATCTTAACGTGATGACGCCGCAAAGACCCCACTTCCCAAAAGTCACATCCCCAGGAAGTGAGGCTGCTGATTTCAACATACTCATTTAGGTGAAAACTAACAGCCTCCAAAAGAGAAATATACATAGGAATGACTTTATGGAAGGAAGTGCTATAATTATACACTGTAGTTCTTTTTCATCTGATGAGGAACATCTGAAAAGAGCTGGATTGATGGGAAGACACTCCAGGATGGTAGGGTGGAAGATTAACGTTGTAAAGAGGACAATACTCTCCAGGCATCCTGCAGAATTAATTCAATCCCTGTCTGAATCCCAAAGGCTATTTGTGCAGAAAGGAGAAAGTCATTTCTCTGAAGTCACGGTCATTGAGAAAGACCCACAGTAGCCAAGCAACCTGGAAAAACAAGATCAAAGTTGGAAACCGCCCACTTTCTGATTTCAACACTTACTGCAAAGTTCCGGTGATCAAAACAGAGTGGTGCTGGCTTGAGAAGAGACGCACTGATGCTTGGAATGCCAACATATAAACCTATTCACATGACCAACTGATTTCTGACAAGACTTCTTCTAAACCATGATAATGACACACAAGTCTTCCTGACACATCCCATTTAACTGTGCATATGTTTTGTTGTAGGATTTGTGGATGGCTTACGTCAGAAAACCTCATAAACCTCTTAGATACTGATCCACTCATCACCTACTGGCCGACTTGACACTGGCGCTGTATCACTGTTTATCGCCATCACCATCCTCCCAGAGTCCAGTCGCTGCAGGATGGTGACCATCTCAGTAACAGCTGTGTGTTCACACCTTCCTTTCCTGAAAATGAGCCTAATGCCTCAGGGATATAATCCTGGCTCACTGGCAGGGAGCATGAGACCCTGTGTGACCAGGGCGCAGCATCTGGTGACTCCAGTTCTTAGAAAAACCCACTCCCCCTTCCCGGCCCCTTGCCACTCGTGTGCTCCCGCTAGCAGTCTGGGTCTCTCTTCCAGGAAGCCCCCACTCGCCATCACAAGCTTCCTGGACCTCCACCAGTTACTGGGTCTCGCTGCCCTGTGGTTCCCCTTCTCTACAACCAACTGAAACCAGAACCAATGTATTCACCGTCTAAACGTGCACACTGTCGGTTATCATCATCAGAAGCCCCCGAGTCCAGGGAAGGGACTGGGCACTTTGACCAAAGAGTCTCAAGTCTGGATATAGTACCTGCTCAGCAAACACTGGCTGACTGCCTGGATGGTGGAAGGAAGGAAGACAGGAAGGGAGGGAGGAACTCTGCATTTTCAGAGTCTCAGAAAAGGGAAGCGACTCAAGGTCACACCGTTTCCATGAAAAGCAGAATAAGAATTGGAACCAAAAGCAGAGCTCTGGGCAGCACCGCAAATGTGTCTCCTTCCACGGTGCTCGGACACAACAGGCCCAGGGACGCCCCTTCCTCCAGCCTCCGCCCACCCTCCGACCGTTTTTCCAGTGGCAACCTTGGAACCAACCATTCAGCTGTCCTCGGCCCCCGGGACCAGCCAACGCCATTTGCAGAGCTCAGCTCCTTGTCGCCGGCCACCCGTGAGCTCCCAGATTCCTGAGACTTATTCCCGCAGGCGGAGGCACCCCGGCCGACCGGTCCACATGCCGTCTCCAGCCTGCCGCCCCGACCTCTCTCTGGGCTTCTCCGACCACTAGGACCAGGCGGCTCTGGAGGGTGGGCCATCTCCCCGCGGATCGGGGGAGAAACGGGGGGCGGGAGGGGCGCCGAGCTCCATGGGACCTGCAGAACCAGCGCTGCGGCCGCGCGCTCTTCCAGGACGTCCGTCCAGGACAGGACGAGGGAGTCAGATCCCGGACGCCGTGGGGCCGCCCTGCTCGCGGAGAGGAACCCGAGCCAGGCCTTCATGGACCCACAGGCCCCGGTCCTCCCCGCCCGACTCCGGCTCCATGACTTTCTGCACCCACATCCTGGACAAGCAGGTGAAACTCATCACGACGATGGGCGCCCACCTGACCAGCCTCTGCAGGCCGGCTGGTCCCAGGCGGGGATGGACGGGCTTTTCCTGCAAAGGTTCAGCCTCCAAAGCACCGCTAGGAGCCTCTGGAGCCCGGCGGCCTTTGAGGAGCCCCTCTGGTAGTAGGGCTTCTGCCTGAAACCTCTCTCTGACACTAGGCAGTTTATATTTTTTGTTTGTTTTGTTTATTTTTGGCTGTGCTAGGTCTTCGATGCTGCTCAAGGGCTTTCTCTAGTTGCCAAGTCCGGGGCTACTCTGTGGCAAGCACAGGATCTAGAGCTCAGGCTCAGAAACTGTGTTGCTGGGGCTTAGTTGCGCCAGGACATGTGAAATCTTCCCAGACCAGGGTTCAAACTTGTGTCCCTGGTGTTGGCAGACAGACTCTGAACCACTGGACCACCAGGGAAGTCCCACTAGGCAACTTGTTAACCACTTTGGAACCCTCTCTGGAGCCTTCACTCAAAGGGAAATAATACACGTTTGTGCAACAACAAAATTAAAAAACAGAGAGATAACCAAAAAGAACCTACTGTATATGATAGGAAATTATATCCAATATCTTGTAATAAATTATAACGGAAAAGAAGCCTAAAATATATACATCCAAAAGAGAATATATATATATATATATATATATAGGAACCACTTCGCTGTAATGAGACTATCACAATATTGTAAATCAACTATACTTTCAGTAAAAAGGAAGAAAATTGGAACCAACCCAATGTCCACCACCAGGAGAATGAATAAAGGTAATCTGGCATCATCAGTCGGCTATCAAAACAGCATTGACAATGAATGACTAGACTACACTGCGCTATGGATGTTTACAAATATAAAAAAGCAATATTGAGGGGAGAAAAGGTTACACTGAATGACACCATTTATCCTAAAGGTGTTAAATGTGCAGAACAGTATCACATTGTATCATGTATGTAGCAAAATAGAAAGACATGCATGCATCAGTCAGTAGGAATGGGAAACAGAAGATGCAGAATCTAGTAACCTCTCTCAGGGAAGGAAAGGAGGAAAATCGGTGGGGAGCGGTACACAGAGGGCTTAGACTGCTTCTGTAAAGTTGTACAGTCTTTGTTTATTAGTGAGAACAGGGAGCTATTTATGATTCTGGATATTTTTCGTATAGAGAAATGGTTCAAGATAAAATTAATATTAATAAAGGCTCCCTATATTCATCTATCAATAGACTCTGCTGCAGTAACAAACAACACCAAGCTCAGTGGCTTTACACAACACGTGATTATTTTAGGTGTTATATATCTAAGGAAGATGAGCATCAGGTTCTGGTCGCTGTAGACACATACTCTGGAATTTAGGCTGATGAGTTCACTTCACTTCACCCTACAAGTCCCCAAGCACAGAACAGCAGGAATGGAAAGTGATCAGCAGCTGAGCTGGCTCTTACCTTGTGCTGAAGTTGACACACATCTCTTTCACTTATATTTCACTGGGCAAGGAGAATCACAAGGCCATGTCTAATTGCAAAGGAAAATTCAAACTTATCATGTTCCCAGAAGGAGGAGAAGCAGAATTTAGGAATGATCGCCATGTTTAGCATCTCCTCCCCTGTTGCCAGGAGAAATATCAATAACCTCAGCTATGCAGATGACACCACCCTTATGGCAGAAAGTGAATAAGAACTAAAGAGCCTCTTGATTAAAGTGAAAAAGGAAAGTGAAAAAGTTGGCTTAAAGCTCAACATTCAGAAAACTAAGATCATGGCATCTGGTCCCATCACTTCATGGCAAATAGATGGGGAAACAGTGGAAACAGTGAGAGACTTTATTTTCTTGGGCTCCCAAATCACTGCAGATGGTGACTGCAGCCATGAAATTAAAGATGTTTTCTCCTTGGAAGAAAATTTATGACCAACCTAGACAGCATATTAAAAAGCAGAGACATTACTTTGCGGACATCGGTCCATCTAGTCAAAGCTACTGTTTTTCCAGTAGTCACGTATGGATGTGAGTGTTGGACTATAAAGAAAATTGAGCGCCGAAGAATTGATGCTTTTGAACTGTGGTGTTGGAGAAGACTCTTGAGAGTCCCTTGGACTGCAAGGAGATCCGACCAGTCCATCCTAAAGGAAATCAGTCCTGAATATTCACTGGAAGGACTGAGGCTGAAGCTGAAACTCCAATACTTCGGCCACCTGATGCAAAGAACCAACTCATTAGAAAAGACACTGATGCTGGCAAAGATTGAAGGCAGGAGGAGAAGGGGACGACAAAGGATGAGATGGTTGGATGGCATCACGATGCAATGGACATGAGTTTGAGTAAGCACCGGGAGTTGGTGATGGACAGAGAAGCCTGGCGTGCTGCAGTCCATGGGGTCGCGGAGTCAGACACGACTGAGCAACTGAACTGATGCCCCTGCTCTCCCAAAAAAACAATTTAAAGTTGCTCTAATCCAGTGCTCAGGGCTGGTGCATTGGGATGACCCAGAGGGATGGGATGGGGAGGGAGGTGGGCGGGGGGTTCAGGATGGGGAACACATGTACACCCATGGCGGATTCATGTCAATGTATGGCAAAACCACTACAATATTGTAAAGTAATTAGCCTCCAATTAAAATCAGTAAGTTTATATTAAAAAGTGCCCCCAAAATAATAAAATAAAAAATAAAGTTGCTCCAATCCAAATATTTTGCATATTTCTTTCTTACTGGGTTTTACAACCATCTACAGTTTTGTACGTGAGAGAAATGCAGGCACGACCCTGAGGAATGTGGTGACCTCTTCAAAGTCACACAACCAGGCCACAGAATGAATAAATGGACGCCTAAGACCTCAGCCCTGTCCTTGGTGCTGTCAAAACCCTACCATCTTTGGACTCTTTCCTCCCAAACATCATACCACCTAAGGACTTTTTCTAATAAATCCTAGTACCACCAGTGTGGCTGTTTGATGACTGTATTTCTACAAATGGACTTTAAAATCCTTACATTGGTAAACTGTCTCACTGGGTTATGGCAAGCCATGCAAAGGAGATGACCGCAAAAATGTGTAGCATGGAAACAGAACAATCATTCAATTCTGGTCAGTGTCAACTGACTGCCAGAGCCTACTCATACAGGTTAAAAAGAGAAATTCGAATTAGTTTCTCAGGCACCCAGCGCACCAGGCAGAATGGCTCCTGAGGGCACTGACAGGTGATTAGAAAGAAATTCAGCACTTTCTTCCTGGCTCCCTGGATGCCCCGCCCCGTTCTCCGGTGCGCCTGCGCCGAGGCGCTGACGCCATCTCCAGGCCACGCCCCCTCCCGAGGCGACCATCGGCCTCGGGGGCGGGGCCTGGGCAGAAGATGGCCGCCGCGCGCCCGGAACCCCCAAGTCCGAGCTCAGCGGCCCCGGAGCCACGATCCCCGGAGCCTCCGGACCTGGTGCGGGCGAGGAAGGGGCCATGGCTGGGGACTCGAGACGGCAGGAGGTCTCAGGGCTGGGGGCGGGGCCGGGGCGGGGCCTAGGTAGGGGCCGGGGGCGGTATTTATGGCTCCGGGTCTGGGGGCGGAGCTTCTCGGGGTGGGCGAGGGGCGGGGCTTAACTAGGAGCCAATGAGAGTGGTGAGTGGGGCCTGAGTGGGTGGACCCTGAGGAGGGGTGGGTGGGACATCTGAACTGTTGATGGGTTCGGAGAGTTCCCGGGGATGGAGTTTGTCTAATTAGGGGGCGGGGCCTCTGGAGGGCGGGGCCTCTGAAATTTTAGGGGTAGCGAACCTCCTAGGTTGGGAAGGTGACCCTGAAAGACAAGGGTGTCGGTTTATAACTGGGGCATCCACGCTGGGTTGGGGTATGATTCTGCAAGGATCTGAGGGATGCGTCTTGATGCCCAGGAGAGGATTTGGGTGGAAGGAGAAATGACTGCTCCAGGTGACTTTGGACCCGTGCTCAGGATGGGAGAGTACCTGAGGACATTCATTCATTCGACAGACATTTACTGAGCTCCTACCTGGGCTAGACAGATGGAGAGGCGAACGAATACGTGAACTGTATTCTTTTAGAGCGCGCAGTCGAGTAGGGGAAGAGAGACAATAAACGAGACTTAATTGTGATCTGGAAAGAAAGAGTGAGCTGAGAGAGTGGGGGGTAGGGGAGCTAAATTTAGACGAGAGCAGTCAGCTGTGTGCCGGCTTATAGTTACACTGGGGTCAGAGAGATAAGCAAGAGCTGGGTCAGGGTGGATATTAGATGACGGTTTGGGATTTTAAGAGCAATTGGAGTCATGTGACAGTTTTGAGTGGGAAAATGACTGCTGTCTGATTTCCATTTTCAAAAGGTCCTTCAGGCTGCTTTGGGGAGGTAGGTTATAAGGGAGCAGGCGTAGGAACAGAGACTTTCAGAGGGTTAGAGGGCTTGGCAACAGATGATTGGCTTTTTAGTGCGGGTGGGGGAGAGAAATGGCTGGATCTGTGATGTATTTTGGGCAGGACAGGAATCCTTGATGGTCATAGGGCAGAATCCCGGAGAATGGAGAGCTGAATCTAGAAGTCGAGAGGCCCAGTAGGCTGCAGAGGGCGTTTTAATAAGTGGGGCGTGTTGGGGGGGTGTGGTGTTGCGGCAGAGTCCACAGGCTCTTCTGTTTCTCCCCCTCCCCACTCAGGTCCTGGTACCTGATGATGGCCGCCCAGCCACTCCCCCGAGTGACCTCATCGAGATCCAGGTGGTGAAGGTGACGGACACCACGCTGGTCCCCGAGCCCCCGGAGCCAGGTTCTCTGCACTGTGCCTTGTGCCCGGCTGCCTTCCGACTGGTCTCCGAGCTGCTATTCCACGAACATGGTCACCTGGCGGGGGCTGAGGGTGGCGGGCAGGGTGGGGACCCCAGCCGGTGTCATGTGTGTGGCCACAGCTGCCCAGGCCCCGCCAGCCTCCGTGCCCACTATAGCCTGCACACGGGTGAGCGGCCCTACCGCTGCGCCCTCTGCCCCCGGGCCTTCAAGGCCCTGGCCCCTCTGCTGCGGCACCAGCACCGACACGGGGTGGAGCCGGGGGCCCCTCGGAGGCTCCCGGAGGCGGCGGCGGCGGCAACTCGAGAGCAGCGGCCCTGGGCGCCCCCGGAGAGGTCGGAGGTGGTGCTGGCGGCGGCAGCGGCGGGCGCGGCGGTGGGGAAGCCCTTCGCCTGCAGGTTCTGCGCCAAGCCGTTCCGCCGCTCCTCAGACATGCGAGACCACGAGCGTGTGCACACGGGCGAGCGGCCCTACCACTGCGGCGTGTGCGGCAAGGGCTTCACCCAGTCCTCGGTGCTCAGCGGCCACGCGCGCATCCACACCGGCGAGCGCCCCTTCCGCTGCAGCCTCTGCGACCGCACTTTCAACAACTCCTCCAACTTCCGCAAGCACCAGCGCACCCACATCCACGGGCCGGGGCCGGGGGACTCTGGAGGCCCGTTGGCACCGGGGGCCGAGGGGCCGGGGAGCGGGTGTGGGGCAGGGAACCCTCTGGGAGAGGGGCGTGGGGAGATGGCCAAAGTGAAGGTGGAGGTCGACCAGTAGTCTGGGAGAGCCGGCACGTCGCTGCAGGGGATGGGTGGGTGAGCGAAAGAGGCCAGGGAGGACGAGGAGAGGTTCGGGGCGGAATGACGTCACAGCACACAGAGATGGCCACGAGCGCCCGCGTGGGAGAGTGCACAGACAGCCGGGATCAGGACGCTCACAAGTCACACAGCCCCTGCGTGAGGTTCGGAGAAAGGCACGGCAGCAGCCCTGTGGGTGCTAGGAACCTGGGCTGGATGTCACGGCCTCCTTCACCTCCCCGACAGCTTGTCCTTGCACAAGACATCGCTTGTCGCAGCAGAGCCTGGGCACTTCTTGGGGTGGGGGGGATCCAGGCTGGACCCTTTCACCTACCTCACTGGATCATACTGACCCTAAGATTGCCCACCTGTCCTCAGTCTGCCAGCCGGATCCTCCAATAAAGCTGGGACCCTGTCTCCTCAAAGCCAGAGGGTCCCTAAGTCACAATGTCAAGGATGGAAGCCTGACCCTAAGGATTTTGACGCCAGGAGCCCATTCGGCAATATGAAGGGCTCGCAGGATCGGTGTGCTTCAGGAGGGGGAGCCCAGGACTCACACCTCTTCCTGTTCACCCAACACCCCCACAAGACATCTCATAGATGAAAGAGAATTCTGTTTTCACCAAGGAGACGCCCCTGGTGTGGACATCACCACCCAAGCTACACACCTTGGGGGGTTCCTTAAGCCATCTTCACCCTTCACCCATCCGTCTAATCGCTTATCAATTTCCTGTTGTTGGAATCTGAATGCTTCTTTTCATCATCACTATCCTTGAAGACCAAGCCAACAACAGTCTCAAGGTCAGGGCCCCTACCTCTTCACTCCAGGCTGTGGCCACCTGGACCCGTCCTTTGGAAACACAGATCCCCACCTTGTCACCAACCCCCAGCTCCTTGTGGCTACGAGGAGGGATCCCAAACGTGAGCGCCTATAGGGACTTCATGATGATGTGAGTGAGGAAGGTGGTGGGGTTTCAAGGAGAAACACCAGGACGAGCGAGGTAAAATGGGACCACTGGCATGTGGGATGCAATGGTGCTCGGAACTGGCAGCAGTCTGGAGAATACACGCCACGTCCAAAGAGAGCAAGGGCTACTCGGCCCCGGGGGGACGCAGACTACATTGCTAGATGTTCCAAATTTTTCAAAAGTTGCATTACTGTTTATATTATGTGAACTCGCTCTTTTTTTTTAATGTGGCTGCACTGGGTCTTAGTTGTGCATGTAGGATCTAGTTCCTTGACCAGGGATTCATCCCCGGCCCTCTGCACTGGGGGCTCTGAGTCTTAACCACTGGACCACCAGGCAAGTCCCCATATGTAAAATCATTCCATGTTCAAAGTCTGGCAATCAAGTCTTTTTTTTTTCCCTCCCATGGGCTAAACTGGATGTCTCAGCGGCTCAGATCCAGCAGCTGCCAGCCTCCAACCCCTGCCTCCAAGGTCATCTGAGCTCCATTGTTTGGGATTCGTGGCTCTTCAGGAGCCAGTCCCCGATCCTTGGCGTCTCCGGCCACACTAATCTATTCAAAACTTGCTGGAACGGCTGGGTTGACTTGGACATGCTTTAACCCTCCACCAGGAATTCAATGCCCAGGTCACCTGGCAAGCTTCTGCAGCTGTCCTCCTTTGGGTGTCCTGCTCCTCCCGAGAGCCTGGTTAGCCCCTCCAGTCTGATGCGGAGAGTGCGCCATGCTCTCAACCCCCGGGGAGACTCCACATCATTCGCAGCGTGGTGCGCCGCGTCCATGTGACTCACTTTGAGTCCCACACCAGCTCTGTCACCTGCTGGGTCTCCAGCGTTAGAGTAAGGTGGCCACACTGGCTTGCTGCCCTCTCGTGGGTCAAACTGGACTCACCCAGGCAGTGACCCCTGACCTGACTTGGTCTCCAGGTTTCAGTCCTGAGGCACCCGGGACTGTAGGTCCAGGGCTCCTACAAACCTGCTAGGTATCCTTGGAGCCTTTCTTCTCTCGGACCTCAGCATCCTCTTCTGACAAGTGGGCTAAGTCAGCCTCACAGGGCATATATTTCACTGCTTTGAGGACCAAAATGAGGGCTGTGAAAGGGCTTCTAAAGTTCCACTAAGTCACTCTGGAGGGCGACATCCTACAAGTGGGCTGTATAATAAACAGAGCCCTGGCTCACCAGCTCTCTTCCAGCTCATTTGAGGGCAAGGAATGTGTCCACTTCACATTTCCCCGTGTGTGCTAAGTCACTCAGTCTTGTCCAACTTTTGCAACCCCATGGACTGCAGCCTGCTGGGCTCCTGTCCATGGAGTTTTCCAGGCAAGAATACTGGACTGGGTTGCCATTCCCTCCTCCAGGGGGTCTTCCCCACCCAGGAGTCGAACCCGTATTTCTTAAGACTCCTGCAATGGCAAGTGGGTTCTTCCCCACTAGCGCCAATGTTTCCCCAGTGTCTATCAAAGGACCCGGCAGACAGGGGCCTTGGGAAAATGTTGTTGGCCGTGGAATAAACCAACCACGAAAGTATCCTGAAGGAGAAGGAGTGCAAGTACGTGGTCGGTTCCCCAGAGCAGTGCCTTACCTATCTTGTTCTGCGTTCGCTCCACTGGGAGACCAGAGCCTGGACATGGTGAAGCCTCGGTGACTACAGGCTGAAAGAAGAAAAGCAGACAGAGGCAGGTGTGGGGAAATCGCCATCCCTGGAAGCCAAAATTCTCAACCTTCCGTTTGTCAGCGCTCAACCCCCGCCCCCTGGGACGAAAGAAGGGACTCCAGCGGCCCTGTTGATAAGATTTATTATTCTCCGCTCTGTACAAGCCGCGTCTGCCCCCCGCCCCCCACCCCCACAAACCAAGAGCACCCAGGCCCCCACCCCGTGCCCTCCCGAACCGCTTGCGCTCCGCTGTCCGGCCAGCTTGCCGGGGAAGGGGGGAGTGTCAGTCCAGACCCGGCTCCACCCAGCTCACCGGGGGGCTGAAGGCTGCTGGGGCAGGGGGGCTGGAGAGGGGTACACATCAGGGGTGGACGGAGGGTCGAGTTCATTGTCCGATAGGAGGAGAGGGCCAGGGAGATCCAGGTGGAGAGAGGCAGGCTAGGGTCTGCACGACATGGGCCTTGGGGGAGGAGGCTAGTCCGTCTATAGTTCGGAAGGATGGCTGGGACGGCCGGCAAGAGGAGGTCCGCGCCCCAGAAGGGCGAGTCCGGGAAGGGACGTCTGATGGGAGCGGCGGAGGGGAGGCACACCCCCCGGTCAGGCGTCCTTCCCGGGCAACGGGCCGGCCCCTGCGCCCGGCCCTGCCAGGCCCTCGGCCTTGTGCGCCAGGCGGTGTTTCTTGAGGCCATAGGTGTTGGCGAATCCCTCACCGCAGGAGGAGCAGCGGAAAGGCCGGCCGCCCTGGTGGGCCGCCAGGTGCTTCCGGAAGTAGCCGGGGTCCTTGAAGGCCTTGAGGCAGGCAGGACAGCGGAGCTCGGGCCGCGGCGGCTCGTGCGCGCGCTGGTGGCGCAGCACGGAGCTCAGGTAGAAGAAGCCCTTGCCGCAGTGCTCACAGCGGTAGGCGCGCTCGCCCAGGTGCAGCCGCTGGTGCTCCAACAGGTTGGAGCGGTAGCGGAAGGTCTTGCCGCAGGCGCCGCAGCGCAGGGGCCGCGCCACGGCGTGCAGCCGCCGGTGCTCCGCCAGGCTGGACGACTGCGCGAAGCGCTTGGCGCACACGCCGCACTTGAAGGCGCGCTCGCCCGTGTGCACCACGCGGTGCTGCCGCAGGTACCAGGAGCGCAGGAAGCCGCGGCCGCACACGCCGCAGCGGTAGGGCCGCTGCTCCGTGTGGCAGCGCTGGTGGCGCATGAGCAGGGCCGCCTCCCAGAAGCGCTTGCCGCACACCGGGCAGCGGAAGCCCCGCTTCTGCCGGTGGCTGCGCCGGTGCAGCAGCAGGTCATAGGCGCCCGCGAAGCTCTGGCCGCACAGGCCGCAGCCCAGGGTCCGGCGCACCAGGTGCACGTACTTGTGGGTCACCAGGCCCAGGAAGTGCTTGAAGCTCTGGCCGCAGGTAGCACAGCTGAAGCGCTCGGGGCCCGCGCTGGCGCCCCCGCCGCCCCCGGCCGCCGCGGACCCGCCCGCGTCCTCGCCCCCGGACACCCCAGCCAGTGCCGCCACGGCCGCCCCCACCTCCCCGGCCAGCCCGTTGTCCAGCACGGTGGCTGCGTCGGTGCCGCCCGAGCCCTCCGGAGGCTGGGCGCCGCCAGACGAGGGCGGCAGCAGGCGCTCGGGGGCCGCCTGGTGCACCAGCTTGTGCCACATGAGGTTCTCGATGAAGCCGAAGGTTTTGCCACACGCATCGCAGCCGTAGGGCTTCTCGGCCATGTGCGCCTCCTTGTGGCTCATGACGTGGAAGAGATCCGGGAAGTGCTCGCCGCAGTCCGAGCAGGCGTAGCTCAGCCCGTCCGCGGCGGCCCCGGACGCGGCCGAGCCGCTCGGGCCGGCCGCCCCC